TCCCCCCGTTAAGCACCCGTCGACCGTCATACAGATCTCTGCCATGCAACGCAAAAACGCCGTAAACGCCATTTTATATCTTTTTGGAAACAATGTATCATAACAGGAAAACTTGTGTACCTTGGGACAATGTTTTTACAGAATTCTTTCGCGAATACTATCAAGAACTTAACCTTAAAGAGAAGCATTTTTCAATTCGGGTTATCGAAATGTTAATGGACAAGGCTCACTGCATGAGCATGGTATAGTACGGATCGTATTCGATAGTGGTTCGATGAATCGTTTGGTTCAAAAAAATAGAACATAACCCCGAACAAAAATTTTAGGATTTAAGTAAGAAAAGCTGAAAATGAGAAAATCCCTCACAATTTCACTCTTCATTACCATTTTATACTAATTAGAATCAAAAACCTATGCCAAGAAACCCGTTCCCTCAGATTACTCAATTCACTTTTGATGCTATATATGTTTACGTGCAGAATCGATCGATATCTATAGACGCTATTAGTGCCACTTCACAGAAAAGCGATATACATCGATATTTTCGTATTGGTGGCATGCCAATGTTATTGTTTGGATCCAATTCGATATAATGGAGAATCCCTATGATGACGTCGCTACTAATAGCGTCTATACAATCTTGCGAGTTTGATGTATCGAATACGATCCATTGGATGAAGATATCGCGGGAGAACAGTGAGCATCGTTGATAAGACAATTTTTCTCATCACACCGTAAACGGCTTTAATTGAGTGTTAATTTCTTTTAATCGATGGTTGATTGGTGATCAATGAATGAGCGTTTCGCTGGAATACGTAGGAGGAGAAGTTTTACAAAAGTTCTGAACTCACTTCGTTTACCACTTTGGTGATGAGGGCGGGGAAGATCACCACCAGTTTCTGAAACCTGCGGCCCTACATGTTGCAATTTTTTTTGGTTAAATGGGTGAAATTATCGATATCGTATCGTAGTGTTGTGTATGCTGTCTAATCATTGATGAAATCTGAATCAATGAATGGGCTCATCTTACTGATATTTCTTGCAATTTTGTTGCATTGCAAATTGCCTGTCTTTCTAACACACGGTGACGCGGTGCGGCAAGCGTAAGCACAAGGAAAAGGGGGAAAACGCCTTCACTTTCTTGGCTATGCAATACGGACATCCCACAAGGTGGAATAGTTGTATCCAGACGCTAAAATCAAAGTCGCGTTGTCCTGTCTGGAATTCATTCCATTGATTTTGATAGTAGCCTTCATTGGCTAATTTATGTAAAAACTGTGCTACTTTACTGTAAAAAAATTGAACATTTATTGCATTGAACTGCAAATAATTTCAATATTTTCAATGCACTTGGCTAGAGGAGGTTTTGAGTGGTGTACAGTACTGATTCGGTTACTCCAGATCATTTTCAAAGTGACAGTATAGGATCAAAAACGAATGTAAAATATACAGTCGTGTATCATTTGTTTTCTTTGCATTGTAATGATATTTTTACAACGCGTTTTTGGGAGGAAACTACGACAATGCTATAATTTACATATTTATACTCAAATTCCTTAATTAAGAAGAGAAATTCTAATTTGATATAGTGGTAAAGATCGTACATTCAATATCCCGAGACAATTTACATGAAAGATGATGCCAAAGATTTATAAAATTTACACTATGGTGGACTTCCATTTTTTAGGACGCCAAAAGAAAGGAGGAAAAAAATTTGAATTTGTAGCATAAAAATACAAAATTCCCCTCCACTCCAGTGTTAAATTTTACACTATGTCTCGGTTTCTTTCCTTTTTGTTTTTTTTTGCGTACAAATTCTCGGGATGTAAAATTGAGGTGAATTCTGTGTACACAAATTGTGCAACACTTACGTACGCGACTATTTCTGAGAGAATAATGACTTTGCGGAAAGGAAAAGATAAAAAGTGATAGAAGTCTTACCTGCTCACAAGCACTTCGGCATGCACCTTCGGCCCTCGAACAACAGTTACCCTCTGGAAAAAAGAGAGAAACATATTTTTGAGAATATACGTCAAACATTTAAAAGGATAAAAGTTGTTGAGAATGAGTTTATTTTCAAGAGGTGCCCAGACATCACACGCCATTTACATCTCTGAAGGTGTAAAACATAGGTTGTAGTGGTAGTATTGGGAGAACGAAATAACATTTTGTTTTTTGAAAAAAGGGAAGAACCAAAATTTTAAAAATAGGAAAAAGGGACGAGGTTTAATTTTTCACTCCATTTATTCCTTGTAAGTGGCAATGCAGCATCATATATAATTTTCTGTGAGTTTTCCGTCGATTTTTTCATTCAATAGGATGAAAAGCTCTTCGTGCCAAACTCATTCTTTATCCCTTGAATCCATTCCCTTTCGACAAACTGCACCTTCGAGTCACGCCTAACAGTCACCGTGAGACGTGAGAAAATCAACCACGACTTTTAAAATCAAGGCACTGTATTGTAAGGCTGTATTGTAAAATACAACATCGTTGAACTTTAAAGAACTTACAAATCTCATAAACCCTCTCGCATGTGAACTTGGGCGGCTTAAAGGTTAGCTTACCACTTTTACAGCAGCATTTATTCTGCCGTGCTGAGGAAGAACGCCGTGTGAGCATTCAAGAGTTGCCAAATTCCCCTCGATAAAATGTTTATTTATGAGGAAAGCTATGAATATTTTTCCTTGAAATTTTCGTGAGCTATATGTGGAATTACGAAGAAAATCACGTTAAAAATTGGAATGAAAATACTCATAAGGTTGCCAGTTAATTCGTGTTTAATGAAAGGAAATTTGGCAACGCTTGAAGGCTCATACGACGTTTTTTCCTTAGCACGGCAGTATTATTCACCGGGTTACTGACATGAATGCTAGCTCTTGGACGAGGATTTATAAAATGGTACCCACCCGGGATACCCTTGAATCTTTAGACAGGAGAGTTGAGACTACACTATTGAGGAGCCCCCTCCCTCCTCCCCGGTCCACAGCTCCCCCGGGTTCGCGGTATGGGGGCAGCGCGGGTTGATAGTTTCCAGACGACCCCCCGCCAATTCACTCACCGGTGTTATTGTTTTATTTATTTGTACATGTTTGTTTTAAAATAAAACAAGAGCGGCCAGCGGTCGAGCCCACGAATGACGGGGCCAGTTTTGAGCTGGAGGTGCTTGCCGATTTGGATAGCCGCTTGATCTTTTCAGCACTACTTAAAGGATGATATTCTTTCACCATGACTCATTTCAATGGAAAAGAGTTTGCCGACAGGGCTTATCTCGACTGCCGAAAGTGCTTTAGTCTTCAATCATCAATACCTACTGTAAGCTTTCTGACCACCCCCCCCCTCCCCTCGAATTTTCATCATTTGGTATAGTTCGTGGTTCAATTTCCATGATTTTTGCGGTCATAGATGATTGACAGACCCTGCTTGAGTCCGATTTTTAACTTATGTCCTGGGTTTTTTTCTAACCTAACGAGATGAACTTGTGAAACCTCCCGTATGAATGACGTAAATGTTAATTTGAAGTGGACCGTACTAGAGGTAGGTATTTTTAAGTGGTTTAACGATAGAAGGACCGGTTTTAATGATTTTTGCGGATAACGATAGGTGATAGACTCTGGATGAGCCCAATTTTGTAACTACATGATAAAGATATGTTTCCTCCCATTTGAACGATGTGAAAGTTCTTTACTGTCACAGTTCATTCTAAAGATTTACCGGGCCGATTTTCCTGATTTTTGCGGCTATCGATAGGAGATGATCCCTACACGAACCCACTTTATTTAGATTAATTTATATACGAGGAATACTAGGATACACTAGCTGAAAAAAATATCAAGGTATCAAAAGTTATGATGGTTGTGCCACGCTTAGCAGAAACAAACCAAGCCACATCAGCTACTGCCAAATTTAACCGGGTCATTTAATTTTTTAAAAGAGAACGTTTTGCGGATTCCTTTGAAAAGTTGAAGAAATTTGCTTCGTTCTAAGCAGAAAATTTACGGAAATTTGCACAAAAATTTGCACTACCGTTTTCATGTCATGAATTAAATTTGTCAATTAAACTTAAAATGGCTGATGTGGCTTGGTCCCTTCCTTCTCAACGCGGTCTCATTTGACAGTTCCTCGTGGTGCGCTATCCTAAAACCGTCCTCTTTTTTGTAAATTGCATTAAAAATATCACACATTTCAAAACCACGATTAAACCACGCATAACATGTCCCTCGGCTTTTTTTTTTAACCACACTCATTTCCGTTTGATAAATCCTTCCCTCGCAAGACAATTCGTTCGAGCTTTAACTGAAGAGCGACTGGCAAGTTCATGGCTTTCAACAGGTCAATTTGCCCGACCCGCAAGCTCAGATCACGCGTGCTGATCAGCAGTGCGATGATCATAAGCTCGAATGCTCATTCCATGGTTATTGTCTTGTCTTGTCTTTAATGTGGTGTCAACGCTTTGCCTTATCCGTCCTTTATTACGAGCTGCTAACATCACAGTAAGGATCAAGTTTATGGTCGAACACCGTGCGCGTTCAATGTCTCTCTATGAAGTCCTTCCTGAACCTGCAACGAACCACGCTCCCACATTCCTCTTGCGTGATTGGATGATTTGAACGCACGAACGCCCACTCTGCCGTGCTAAGGAAGAACGCCGTATGAACATTCGAGAGTTGCCAAATTTCCTTCGATAAAATGTTCATTTTTTAGGAAAGATATGAATATTTTTCCTTGAAATTTTTAGGAACTTTAGGTGAGATTGCGAACTAAATTATCTGAGAAATTGGCAGAAAAATATTCAAAAATTTTCCTGAAAATGAGTGATTTGCCAGAGGAAATTTGGCAACGCCTGAAGGTTCATACGGCGTTCTTCCTTAGCACGGCAGCACTGCGAACCGTAGTTGGTACATATTTTGAGAATAAACGTCTACTTTTAGGAGATAAATACATATTGCCGCGACCAATTTTGAAATTTTAAAAATTACCCGCGGTAGACGCGTAGCTTTTGAACCTGCCTAAAGATCTCAAAGATTTGAGAGTTGATAGAATTTGAGTGGGAAATTAATTATCGATACGAGTGAAGGAGACGAAAAATATCTTGGAATACCCTAGCTCTTCTTTCATTCCCACGGAGAAACTTTTGAATTCAAATAAAGATCAAATTATTTGTAGGGGCGGAAATATGGGAAAGAGGGAGGGGACCGGGGAGTTGTTCCCCAGAAATCTACTCGAGCCCTCCCAAGAAATGTGAGGAATTTTGCCAAGTGAAGGCGAGACACATGTTTTATCTTTGAAATGTTGCAATTGGACCAACTTATCGATGGGAAAAGCTCAAAACTGCTCCTAGGACAATTCAATTTTTCAAAGATTCCCGGAGGAGGCTCCCTGATCCCCCTTCTGATGTTAACGAAACCCCCTGAATCCTCCTTTAAGCTGGAGGAGTTCCGTAGATCCTCTTAAGTGGGGTGTCTTTTTGTGCCCCCTACCCGAGACCCTCTTTGATGGGATGCCCCCTACAAAATGTTCCTAGTTTCGCCCATGGTCATAGGAAGTAAAATGTTTGATTCGACTACAAAGCTGTAACTTTTAAATAAAAACCCACTCCGATTTATTCCGTAAGTTACAACATGTTTTTCAAAAATTTTGCCGACTATTACTATAAAAATAAATGACACAAGAAATAGAATAGTATTGCGGTACAAAAGTTTATAATTTTTTTTTTTTTTTTTTTTTGAAAATTTAATAAACTTTTCGGAAAAAGTTTCCGGAGTGATTTCCACTGCGCTTGCATATACAAACTTTTGGCGGAATACTGCTGAGTTAAAAGCAGAAAATTGAACATTTTGAAGTTGCTGGACTGTTCAGAGAATCCGACGACTCATTCGCATGAAAAACGTCATGAAATGAGTCGTTTTTTGGAAAAGCAGGGGATCATCGCACAATCGAATCGGTGAGAACGATAACACACCAACTCGGAAAAATGAACAGAATCAAGACATACACGAAACTGAACAGTAAACGAAGAAATTAGTCTAAGAGAGAGATTTTTGGTGCCGAAATACACTTAAGAGCATTTTAAAGGTCCACGTTGGAACAGATGCGCTAGCTTCGATGACTTTTATAAAAATTAACCGTCTCTTATGAAAATTGAACAATTTCGAGTTTCCGAGTTGGTGTGTTTTCGAACTCACTGATTCTCTTTTGGAAATGTTCGGTGAAATTCCATTTTTAAGAGGGTAACAGAAAATGCGAGCATCATCCTCGTGCACAAACTGCAAGAAATTTATTGTGTTTCCGCCTAAAAACTCACTGAGAGTCGAAAAGAAAAGACGCTCAAAATTTCCACAAGGAATTTAGTGCGAGATTACAAATTACCATCACTTGATTAGGGAATCGAATAATGATACCTATTCTCAATATCCTTCAAGGAAAAAAATGTAACTGAAATGTATCGATATATTGTTGAGATTATGTTTTCTGATAACAATTAAGTTATTCGAGAGGTTGTAATGATGCATGGCTTGTCAAGTCTGTATAATATGTTGACAGTTTTGCTTCTCAAGATCATTGGTCGGTCAAGAGGCGTCAAATAAACTTATGGACAGATAAGAAAAAAACAACTCAATTAAATAATCCTGCTTTCCCTTAAACCAGCAATCAGCTTCACTGATCGATGCCGGTCGATCAATTCTTTTTTTGCGAAATATTGATTGTCAAAAGGCAGACATCATAAAATTCTCATTTTATGCTCAGTGAATTTCATCGCGACGGGACGGCTGTCGCACAATATTATACAGGACTGTCTCTTTCCTGCCTTGACATGGGGTGTCAATTTGAATTTTCGTTATTCCTCGATTTAATCAATTCCTTTTCGAAAAATATTCGAGGCGTAAAAAACCCAGAAATTTGTTCTTGATTCGTTGGCAAGCCACAAAACACGGTGGTTCCAGTTTGACTCCAACTCATTTTAATTTTCACGAAAATATATTATTTAAATTTTTAGTTTGTTTCGGACCTGCCCATTTATTCGCTGTGTTAAAAGTGTTGAATTGAAACTAATGTTCATCTACGGTAGTGTTTTTCCTATTGCGACCATTGTCAAAATATTTGCACTAATTTCATTTCAACCAAGTGAAAAATAGAAACTTCATTTGAAACTTTGCCGGAAGAAAGTTCCTTATTGTATCAGAGGTGATTAAACTCTGTAACCAAATTATACGTCGCGCCAGATGTAAAATAATGCGCCGAAATTAATTGATCTAAGGCCGTTTCAAATTATCTCGGTCTTTTGGTACGTCAACCAGAAGCTAATAAAATCGGGGGGCTAGGCAAACATTTTATGTGCAACTCAAGCAGTGATGTTTTATCGAGTCCCTGCAAGTATAAATCCAGTATCAGGCAGATTACACAGCATGTGTCTGTTTTTGCTCATTCTCATTTTTAATTTTTTTTTTACTTACATAGTTATTATACCTTTTATAAACAACTATCGGTCCAATTTTCGCGCATGTCTGAGTTTTCCTAAAATTATTATAGTGAATAATACTTGAGAGGAGATGAGTAGTGTGTTAAAATACGAATTTACACCTGATAAAAACGCTTAGCTTCACACAGAAAATGCTAAATCCCTTGAAAACTTTAGATATTTTATGAGGAAAAGACATTTTGACTAGAAAAAAAATCTACAAGGCAAAATATAAAAAAAAGGAATCTAAAATCCCATTCCTACTTATTGTGTGTTGACGCTCGATTGTAAAAGCCACGCTCGGACAGGCCGCTGATAACTATTGACGATGTCATAAATTTCAGTAAAAAAAAGAGAGGAAAAATATTTATCAACATGCACCAGATCCAGACGCAAGGTCACCATGTCATATGTCACCAATAATCATACTCCCAGTGAATCATTTAATCGCACAGATAAGGCGTGGTAATAATATTCGCGCGGAGGCCCCGATCGGCCAGACGCGCAAAAAATCGCCGACGATCGAAATGCAAATACGACGAACAAATTGCAAAAACAGATGCGTGGACAGCACAGATAAGAGGGGGGGAAAACATTGCGGATAATAAAAATCACAACCAAAGTGGAATAAGAGGAGAACCAACCTAAAGAGGCGAAAATGAGCGGCGAGTTTAAAAATAACACAAGCACGTGAGCGAAATACGCGCGGCGGGTGAACATCGCGACAGCGGGCGTCTTGTCATAGCGGATGCCCGGAGAAAACTAAATAAAGCTCCCGTAGGATCCCGCCGTATCGCGTAGTGCATCCCGTCCCCCG